AGGAAAGCCAACATTTTGGCCCTAGCCTTCTAAGGTTAATTAAGACTCAGGACATATGAGAACTTGTACTGTAAAGTCATGTAACTCAGTAGTGTCCCAAATTTTCTGATCAAGGAGATTATGGGGCCAAAGAGGAAAGTGATCAATGATGTAGAGTGTGCCTAAGGAGAGTCACATGGAGAGAAAACATTCTCTCAAGCTTTCACAGAGAGCACATTGGCCAAGCAATGGCCATGACTCATCCACATGGCTGACACTGACAAAAGTTCTACCATCTGAGGTACAGGATCTCAGGATAAATCCTGAGGGAATTTCACTGACCTTATCAGTCCCAAAAGCTACAACTCTTGTTGCATAGCTCCTGCTTTACCTTGGTCTTAACTATCCAGCAGAGAAGTATAAAAACAAAGTATAAGAAGTAAAGCCATGGTGTTATGTTGAGCTGTAGGGGACTCAGGTCAACAATTTCTGACATTGGCAGTCAAGCAGAAGACCCAATACTATTATGGGCTACTGGACTCTTTTAGAATATTTTGTTGAGTTTACATACCTATAATATTCAAATAACAGAACTTAACAACAAAAAGGGGATGCAGATGAATGTCCATTTTGTATCTGTGTATTCAAATGGCTAGGATTGATATACAGTTACATTGTCTTAATGAGTAGAGGGATTTGTTCTAATGGTGTATGTAAGTAGGATATCATGTCTGCATCTTGTACAGCAATTAACCACTAGGAAGAATGTATACAATGTGTTAATTATTGAAACTGTCCTACCAGTTTGGTTTGAAACTGTCTCATTGTTATTTGTTTCTCCATAAATTTATGGAAAAAGTAAAAAAATAAAATAAAATATGCAAAAAAAAAATAAAAATTTAAAATTTCTGTATTTAAAAAAGATAATAATTGTTCAAATAGTATCAAAGACATTTCATAGATTCTAGATCCTTCTTTTGTCAGAGGCAATAGCTAGTATTCATCTCATTTTGTACCTTTCCAGAGGAAGCTTTGGCTTATCCATATGTACGATCCTATTTACCATTTGCAAACACTTAAGGGCATATGATATGCACAATTCAGTGCCTTCCACTTTTCACTTAATGAGGTCTTTTCCTTATGACTATTAGCCACCACCATTTTCCAGTACTGGGCATCGAATGAAGGACCTTCACACTGAGCTACATCTCCACACTGTTTTTTTTTTCTTTTTTTTTTTTTTAATTTGAGACAGGGTCTCATTAAGTCACTAACTTGTCCAGGCTGTACTCAAACTTGTGATCCTCTTGCCTCAGCCTCCCAGAGTCCTGGATCACAGGTGTGTGCTGCCGTGCCATCGTGTTTCATTCTTTTGGATAGGTGTGCAGTATTCTGAGGCCCTAAGTAGTGGGCTATTGGGCTATTCCAGTCTTTTGTGAATACACATGACATTGCATTGAATGTCCTGGTACCTAGGCCCTTAAGCATCCCAGCAAGTACACATAAGATGCAGTGGCTTTGTTTCCAAGGAGGTATCTAGGTGTTCTTTTAAATTTAATTTAATTTTTCATCTTTTTGAGACATGGTCTTGCTATGCAGTGCAGGCTGGCAGTGAGTTTACCTTGTAGCCCAGGCTGGTCTCAAACTCACAACGGTCCTCCTAACTCAGCCTCCAGAGTGCTGGGATTACAGGGGTGCGCCACCATACCCCGAGATATCTAGATTTTGTTGTTTGTATTTCCTCCCGACTCCCAGACATGCCTCACATTCACCACCTCTTCTGTCTCACCACTCTTTATGTAAGCACTGTTTAGCTTGTGTCCACTGACACAAAGGCCAGGAATGACCTCCTTCCTTGAAGTGTCTCCTCTGCTGTTTCTGGAGAACTTGGTCCACTGCTCATCCTTCCTGAAACTTTCTTTGGCCTTGATCGTTATGGGACCTCACCTTTGTGCTTCTCTCATGCTTTCACTGTGTCCCTGGCCTGTCTCCCAAAGGCCAACATTTGCAGGTACTGCAGGAGCAGGAGGCTGTGACTAGCTGCTTCAGCTGCTTGTGGTCCACACCCTCGTTTTGCTGCATGGGCCCCAGAGGAAACCAGCCTTTCCATCAATGTCTTAGCTCAAACTCTTCCAGAGCTCAAACCCTGCAATTAAAAAAAAATGTGTTAGCTTCCACATTTTATTCTATTACCATTTATTGTATCACTAGTTAAGCATTTATTATATACTGTTTTCAAAATGTAAAAAGGTTTAATATGAAAAATGCAATGAAAGGAAAACAGAAATGTCAAACACCATTCAGTTTAATAAATAAAATATAATCAGCACTGAAGAATCAAGCCTCTAAATCTCTACACTGAATTTGTAGTTCATAGTTGCTTTGCATTGTAATTGAGTACTCTGTCTCTGTGTGTGAGGAAAGGTGAGGGGGTTGGGGATTGAACCAGTCCCACCCCTTTTAATTAATCAGAGACCGGGTCTCACTACATAGTATACACTGACCTTGAATTCACTCTGCAGCACAGGCTGACCTCAAACTCCTGATCCTCCTTTCTCAGCCTCCCAATTGCTGGGATTTCATGCATGTGTCACTATACCCAACTCCAGCCCCTTTTTAAAATCTCAGGACAGATGCTTGCTAAATTGCTCATGCTGGTCTTGAACTTATGATCCTCCCTTCTCAGTCTTCCAATTAATTGAGCTTATAAGCAGGCACCTTGCCTGGTAAATTCTATATTTTTAACTGATCTTAGGACCTCTTTATATGGGTATCTCATTTGATATGGTTAAAAGCAACCTCAAGTGATTCCATTTACCTAGCAATATTGAGGATAGTTGGCTAAGATCCCCAACTGCCTGTATGAGAGACACAGAGAAAGGATGAAATAAGAAACAGACAGCCAGGGAAATGGCTCAGTAGAATAACTGCTTGCCTGGGAAGCACAAGGGCCTGAGTTCAATCCCCGGTTCCAAAAAAAAAAAAAAAAAATTGGGGGCCGGGGAGATGGCTCAGTAGAATAAGCACTTGCATGGCAAGTGCAAGGGCATGAGTTCAGTCCCCAGTTCTGTCAAAAAAAAAAAAAAAAAAAAAAAAAAAAAAGAAAAAAGAAACAGACAAATTTAGTAATATATGATGGGGATCAGGGAGGTCAATGCCTCGGGATGGGCAGAAACAAAGCCATGCCACCCCAGCCACTACTTACTGGATGTATACAATGATAGGAGGGCTACCAAAAGACTCAAAGTTGACAGAAGATTCAGGTCAGTGACACAGTGGGGAACAGATGAGCCTGGGATGACCCAAGAGGATGGAGATGACCCCATGCTAAGAAGGCTCTTAATCTGGAGCATTGTTTAATCCTAGTGATCTTAATTTAGTCTTAGTGGTTGGGAGAGGATGCCTATCCCTGAAGAGCTAATGGGAAATCTCAAAAGAGTCATACCGAGAATCCCAAGCCTTCTTCTATCTTTTAGGGAAATATGCAAACAGCCATTGTGAATTTGTGGTTCCCAACATAATAACGACAATGTATTTTGTTTTTCTGTCCATTCACCTATCCATTCATAAATTCTTAGTGGATCTATATCAGGAGTGATACACACTGCTGGTGATACACACCAGCAGCCTGTTTGGCACCTGTGGGCTATGTCAGAGGATAATGGTGCCAGGCATAGTAGCACATACCTGTAATCCCAGTGCTATGGAGGTTGAGGCAAAAGAATCCCAAGTTTGAGACCAGCCTGGGAACCAAGATCCTGTCCCAAATTTTTTTTAAAAAAAAAAAAAAGGCTGGGGATGCATGTGGCTCAGGAGTAGAGGTGTCCCTAGTTTGGACCCCTAGTGCCACTACCACTACTACCAAGGGGGAAAAAAAAGGTAGGAGGCTAAGTGAATATTGGTAGATGCTTGGACCATGGGACCATGAGTAGTTTGTCTGTCTAGCTGTCTGTCT